CAGTTGGTAATACTTATACAAAAATATATTTATTTCCTCTTTAACCTTGCAGACGTTGCATTTTTCATGTATGGTAAACAAAATAGTATATTGTAAGCAATGACGATAATATTTGAGTTTATCGTCTGGCTTTTCAAACAAAGAATGTGTGATTAGTTTAGTAGTTAATTATTCGTAATTTGCATCGGTCCGCGATACATACAAAAATACCTTCCCTTCGATAATGAATTACGTTTTACGAAAATAAATAATATTAACAGTTCTTTCGATTTCATAATTATTTTTATTTTGTTTCCATGGAAAATAAGTTTATCACACACGTATTCACCAACCACGGAACATTGGTGACCCCGCGAACATTGAACATTGAACAATTGGACATTGAACAGTAAACATTGGTGAACGTTTAAAAAGAAAAATGTTGATAATATATTTTTGCCAGTTAAAACAGTGAATCTGAATCAGTGAAAAAAACAGATAATGCCAATAATACTGTAACAGTAGTGGATCACAAACCAATCACCTTCGCTTTTACACAGAAGCTAGACAAATGCAGTCATAGACAATTTCGATATTTAGATTTTATAGGACAGTTTTGTACCAACATTCAACACATCTCTGGATTAATAAATATTGCAGCAGACTCACTATCACGAGTCGATAGCATCAAGAAAGATATTAACATCATGGACTTAGCAGTCCCCCCCCAGAGGGAAATTCTAGGTGCGCTACTGGGACTTAGCTCTTGTACAAGAAACAGATCCATAACTAAAAACGTACTTAAGAGAGAAAACATCGTTGCAATTAAAGAAAATACGGTTTCCGGAACAAAACCTTAGTTTGTACTGTGACGTAGCAACATCTACAACCAGAGCATTTATACCGAAACCACTCCGAATGGCAATTGTTAGTACCATGCATAATCTAGTACATCCTGAAATCAACAGTTCTGTGAAGATCATTATACAGCAATATATTTGGCCTTCAATCAAACCAGATGTGAGAAAATGGAATCAAGCCAAGACCTTTTGCTTATATTTGAACGAAGGATCCTGAGAGGAATATTTGGTGGCATCTGTGAAAATGGTGTTTGGAGTAGGAGATACAACTACGAGGTATACCACAGTTATAAACAAATATTTGGTGGTAAAGACGTAGTATCTCTTATAAGAATAGGAAGACTAAGATGGGCAGGACATCTAGCAAGATCACAGCAGAACAACCCTCCTAGATGAATCCTTATGTCACAACCCGTGGGAGGTAGAAAAAGGGGTAGGCCAAAACTCAGATGGAAGGATGGTGTAGATGAGGATGTAGAAAGATAGGCGCAGCAAACTGGCAACGGTTGGCAATGGATAGGACTGCCTGGCGTAATAAACTTGGAAGGTCGAGGCTCTTTCATAGGGCTGTAGCACCATTGAATTGATGAATTACTTGATACTAATTTTATAAGACACACTACATTTATAGTGTTAATGCAAAAAAATTGAAATTTTCAAAAATTTTAAATATTTTGAAAGAAAATTTAGACATCAGAGAAAAATCGGTCAACGGAGATAGATTAAGAGGATTTATATCTTTATATTTATGATAAAAATTGTTAAAGCAGGATTTGGATGAAATTCAGTGTTACCTGAAACAGGGTTAAAACTTTTTTTATACTAGATAGATATTTGGTAAACATACTGTTAATTTTAAGGAATGATAATAACAACATTTAAAAAAATCGAAATATAAAAAATATAAAAAATTATAAGACTTTATTCAAACCTTACACTCCAATTTAGTATCATTTGGTATCTGAATTACTTCAGGGTTACTGGAACTCCTGAAACTTTCGGAATAACATGAAAATAGACAAGGAAACTAAAGTCAAACTCAGTTAGAAACGATTTATATTAGAGTCATGTATACGCGGTATGCATAACTCAATAACCGGGACTTGAGCAAACTTTAATAAACTTGAAATTTAGATACTGACAAAATAGTTAGTGTCACTTAATAAAATACGTGTTTGTGGCCTGCACGAGGTAACGGAATAATTAATTTACTTTAATATGTTAAATAAATATATGATATGTACCTCATAGCTTTATTTTAGAAGTTTAAAGGCAATGTACTAAATGATGTTGGACCGAAATATTTAATTTAGGCCTATGTTTATAAAAGTTTTAAACATTTTTAATAAAGATGTATTCAATGTGTTTATTGAAATGTTCGCTAAGTAATTTAGTATTTTTATAGTAAATAAGCCACAATTCTACTCTAAAATAACTTTATTTGACGTTTCGATTTTCATTTTGGAAATTGTTCTCACAATACGAAACATTATTAAATTAAACAATTTTTTTTAGACCTTATTGCAACATTGTAGCGTTCTAATTTTTTTAACCATGAAATATTTATGTATTAAAATTTTGTAGTTCCCCCCTAAGCTTTATATAAATATTTTTGTCTTTATTTACATTCAAATCCCCAATTCTCTGTATACATTGTAAGGTAGAAGATTTCTAAATTCCGGTTATAACTAGGACGTTAAAATAATCAATATAATACGTGTTTTTTCTACAAATTTAAAAAGAAGTTTGTTTCAAGGTCGCTTTGTGACATAGTTGTGGCCTGTTTTAAAAACAAGTAATTTAGATTGGGGTGGTAAGGGAAAGGGTAGCTCGCCCGCCGGTATTAGATTGAGGTGAGGAGAATTCAAGCAGGTTGAAAAGTCATTATGTAATTTTGATAAAAATACCTGCAAAAATTTGTTGAATGTAGTGAAATTTATTCTCTGTAATATGTCAGTTTGGGAAAGAGTAATTACTACACATTTTGCAAGATATTTAAGAGATTTGTGTCGCTTGCAGCAATTGTGATGTTCCAGTTTATTTTTTTTAAGTCCAGTCTGAAGTTTGTATCTAGTGCTGCCCATTTCAATCCTCCATGTCTTGAAGCAGACCTTTTGTTCGTGTGCAGAGATTCCCAGTCCAGTTCTCCCAGAAATTTTCAAGTCCAATAGATTTAGTGAAATATAAAGGTAACTTTTGTGTTTAAATTTTAAAGATAGACCTTTTTTTTTTAATAATATAATTGCTTTCATTATTTAAAAAGATAATTTTTTATTTGCGAATTTTTGTAGCAACACATTTTGTAAACGGCTAAGACACATGTAAGTTTTTCTTTTTATTTTTGTATTTGGCGACTATTGATATATTTTTACATTATCTATTTGTGTAACTGATCGTGGTGAGACACAATATGTTTAATTTGTTTTATAACCATTTTGTTTATTTCCCTCTCTAACCCTTTTTTGAGTTTTATATTAAAAAAAATTTTTGTGTATTTAACAATCATTTTAGTAGTTATAACTTGCTGTTGTAATAGTTATAATTAGGCACCTCGAAGTGGCGTCCTTTTTAAATTACTAGAGGTGTTCCCTGTTTCCTTTTGTTTTATTTGTCTCAAGAGATTCGTGACCTTTTGTTTCATATTTTTGTAGTTGTCCCAATCCAACCCCTTTGTCATTTACTTATCCACGACCCCAGCTCTCCTAAAAAACCCTGAGTGTCGTTCGCATGTTTCGATTATTTTGCTTTCCCTATCTCCACCTCAATAGTTTCTGCCCCAACTTTCAGCCCCCATAGTAATACCTCATGTGGTAGGCAAAATATTATCGTTACAACATAATGATAAGTCTTGGTCTTGGTAACTTGGTTAAAGGTGCTCTTTATGTTTGGTTTGGTATGGTTTTACAAAGAAGCATGTAAAAAAATTGAAAGGTGTTTTGGAGAACTAAAACAACGATTTCCGACGCTTCAATATAAAATTCGGGAGTTGATAGAAAATGTTTCAACACTTGAAGACCTTAGAGCAACAACGGTACATACTACAAAAGTAAGTTTTTGAGAACATCAATTATAAAGGCTTTAGTCAAATCCTGAAATACCAAATATAGATTAGAAATTCAGTAAATGGTGTTATTTGAAGTATATCTACTATCCTTAAAACGCTAAGCTAATTTTAAAAAAGTCGTTTTTGTAGAAGAAAAATATTAGAAGTTATATACAGTAATAAACATGAAAAATATAATACATTAATTGCAATTCTATACTTAGAATTGTTTTAAAATCACTTTAATTTTCCTCCTCCAGATCGCTAAAGTCATCCCAATGTCTTCATAATCATATTCATGTCTCCATATCTATCAATAGGCAATTATTATATTTACAAAAAAATGTTGGTAAAGTAAATTGTCAATAATTTAAGAGATTCATCAGGTTAAATCACACAACTCCATTCAGCCACAAGATTGCTGCTCGCTAGCAGCATCAAATTAATTACATCTACATATACTGTGATACAGGTAATAATTATGGGGTAATGGAATCGATATTTTGGGGTTTCCAGCCACATTACAATGATACATATTCTTACGATAGAACTACACATTAATTGCGCCATTAATAAATTATCATCACACTAATAATGTTTTTAATTAACAATTTGTAGTTTATTTAAGTACCATTTTTTGTACCTGTTATGTAATTTATATTTATTATTTATAACTAATTATTTTTTGGTAATTCTCAACAAAACAACAAATACAATGATTTTAAAAGCCTTCACTTATGGTGTGAACATAAACAAAATCTCTAATTCAAAATTAAACGGTGAAATATACAGGTTGAATTCTAACTAGCGGGGCACAGGCTAAGGTTAAAAGGTTGATTTATTTGGGTTATTGGGCAAAACCTCGTATCTACGGTAACACTTACTTTGGAGTAGACGATAAAAACTGTAGAATAATGCTGTTTATTGAAGTTTAGTATGTTAAACCAAAGCTATGTAACGTATTTCTGATCTAAATCTAAACTTAAATGATTCTTCTGATAGTTTGATGTTTTTAATGACAAATATGACATTTTGCTTTTTATGAAAAATCAGATAGGAGGTTTGTTGCTTGCAAAGATCATCCTTATCATCATATTATTTATTTCACTTCCTTATTATTATCTATTACAAGAAAAAACTGCAACAAAAGACTGCAACCTTAAACGAATAAAGCTATTCCTTGATTCTGGTTCACAAAGAGTAGCTGATGCTTCAGTTACTAACTTAACAGTTCTTTTAACGGATTGGGTATGAAAGGGGCAGTTTAAGACCTCTATATTGTTGTGATTCCGAGAAACAATCATATCCCTTACATCTTTATTGGAAATATGTTTTAGCAAAGGAGAAGCTGTAATACTGCATTCAGGAATAGAAATTAAGTCAATATAATCTACTGCACTAAAATTTATTGTTGGTATTTTGATTCTCCGGATCTTTTTTTCTTTCTGAGCTTGTCTATCTTTCAGCACTCTGCATAGTCCTAGCTCCCGTATATGTTTTCGTTCATCTTTCATAATACCGAGTAATAAATTTTCGGGATGGGCAATATAAACATTTATTTGGATAACTTCATCGACAATTTTTCTTTGGTCAACTTGTAGAAATCGTAAATAATGGATTATTCGTCATAAATGTTTTGAACCATCAGAACAACTAGGATACAATTTTGCATGAAACCAAACTGGTGCATACACTTTTTGGATGAAACTTACTAACATAATTAATTAAGGGCTGGGACATTCAGTTCCAACATACAATCGAAGCAACTGTCAGCTACTTTGCATGTGATATTTCCCAGGTTTTTAACACTTAAATTATTAGGACATTTTCCCTTAGGAACTGCATAACTGTTTTGGTACAAGTACTTCTGATTGGTACTAAAGTCTGTTGTTTCTAATAATATGGGTAGATTATTTTCGATTGCGACGAAATTGACAACATCCTTCCCTTATCAGCGTTCCAGAAGTTTGTCTATTGGCCCTGAAAAACCAAGTGGTCCACTGGTGCGTCCATCTAACTATTGTAATAAATGACGTAGATATAGTTAACTGCAATGAAATAAGCATACTAGCCATTAAACTGAGGTGCCGTAGTATTCTTCCAGTTTTTTTATAACACGTACTTAAGGGATGGTGTTCACTACCGTACAATCGCATCCAGCTGCGCTTAACTTCGATATATCAATATTATTTTTCAGGATAAATGTCTGTATGCTATTCACGATGTTTGCAGTCGATCCTGATAATTTTATTCTTTTATTTTAAATTCTATTAGTGTTCTCATATGATTGCTTGTTAATAATCTTAAGATTTCTGTAGGTGTTTCATCTGGTCCCATGGCCTTCTCATTTTTTATACGTTTTAGCGCTTTCTCAATTTCGTCTTTAGTGATTGGTTGCCCATTTCTTCCTCTTGGTTCAATGACCTTAATTTTCTCGTCGTCTTCGAATAGCTCTTTTATGTATTCTTCCCATCTGTTTATTTTATCTGTACATTTCGTTATTATCTTGTTATTTTGATCCATGATATTTCCGATACCCTTCTTTTTGTATGTGCCAGCTCTGTATGTATCTCTGTATGTGCTCTCTTGTATGTCTCTTTGATTTTCCGGTGTATGTTAAAACTGTCATGTTGTTTATCTAACCTTCCTTAGCTTCTTTGATTTTCTGTTTAATTATTTTATTAATTTTTTGTACTGTTGTTCGTTCTTATTCTTGTGTGCCCTTCCTTCGGTCATCAGTTCCTTTATCTCTTGTGTGATCCATTGTTTATTTTTAGATGATTTGTCTTTTGAAGTTTTGTTTTGTGATATTTTTTAAGATCTCCCCTACTTTCTTCCATTTATCTGTTGCTGTTAATTGCTTTTTGCCTTTCTACTTCCTGAACTTCTTTGTCCACTTATTCTTTGATTTGTTGGCATGTATCAGTTTCTTTTAGTTTTCTCAGATTGATTCTCGGTGTTTGGGCCGTTGTTTTTAACTTTTTTAACTTGAGTTTCATATTTGCTAAAACTAGATTATGGTCATTTGTTATATCTGCTCCTGGGTACGCTTTAGCCGATATTATGGCATTTGGTAATCTTTGATTTATTATTATGTAATCTATTTGGTTTCTTATTTTAATTCTACCATCATCTGTAGGTGCCTTTCATGCGTATATTCTTTAATTTGGGAGTTTATACCACGTGTTTGTGATAATGAGTTTGTTATCTTTGCAAAACTGAACTAGTCTTGCACCTCTTTCATTACGTGTTCCCAGTCCGTGTTCTCCTACTACTTCTCCATCTCTTCCTTTCCCTATCTTCGAGTTACAGTCACCTAAAATCAAATTTACTTCTTCTTTTTTAGTTTCATTGAATATTTTGTTTAAGTAATTGTAGAAGCTGTTTACTTCTTCTTCTGTGCTATCAGATGTTGGTGCATACACTACAATGATGTTTATGTTGTACGGTATAGCATTTAGTTTTAATAGTGCTATTCTTTTTATTATCGGTATGAACCCTTTAACTGATCTTTCGATTTTTTTTGCTAATGACTATTACTACTCCATTGCGGTTTTGTGTGTTGTTTTTTCCGGAATAGTAAAACACGTAGTTGTCTATAACACTTCTGCCGCTGTTAGGCCATTGGACTTCACTACATCCAAGTATATCTATCTTCAATCGGTTCATCATTAACCCTAGATTTGGGGCTTCTACAGGGTGCTATCAGCCGGGCAAGTTGAACACCGGTTTTTTGTAGTGTTACTCCTCTCTCCTCCTCTTTTATCCGAGCTTAGGACCAGCTGCGACAAGTGTAGAGCTACTTAGTTCACCCCACACCTATCACCGTCCTTAAAAATTTTTTTGAGAGGTGACGATACCGAGTGAAGGGTCGTCGAAGAGTCAACACTATGTCGACGTTCCTGTACCTCTCGAGGAGTGTGAATGTGGCCACACGATGAAGTGTGAAGTGCTGGCATTTATGTAACACTTAAGACATACTGTGTCCATAATATTATATAAATATTCATATAAGATAAATTAATGTAAGAAATAAACCTCGAACTGTATTCTCATTGCTGGTGGCACCTTGTCGATTACAGAGTCTCCGGTAAACTCCTCGCTAACTTCTCGCTAAGATCATATAAACTCTATGTACACAAGGATAGAGTCGAGAAACCTTCCTTCAGAGCGGCGGTCCTAGACCATCCAGAAATACAGAATACCTCGTAGGATGCTACGTAGGCCGTACGACACTAACAAAACAACGTTTGTTGTTTATTCACGTATTTCTGTAATATGAAGTGGAATTTACAATCTCTGATAATTCTAAACACTAATGTAGCGTCTTCTCCTGGTTAAACACGGAAGGAAAACGTAAGAAGAAAGAAATTGTGCAATTAGCTCATAAATAGCGACATTTTTCTAAATGAAACAACGGTACCAAATCTTAGATGCTGTAGTAGATCTTTTCCTTGATTTGACAATGCTATTAAATGGCGAATGAAGTAGGTATTAAAAGAGAAGCTAATGCCCACTAATAATTTTGTGAAACAGAGGTTCCGATCAAGCAAATTGAGAAACATGTGTCCTCACGAGACAAAGTCTGAATATAAAACTAATGAGCTTGTATTCTGACAGAATATTATATTTTTTCTAACATCTGAAAATACTTTATCAAAAGAATTAGGAAACGTATGAAAGTCATAGGAAAAGACGAAATAGTAACCTTACATTACAAGTCTGTTTATTGTTTATTCTTGGAAATGTACTTTTTGTACTGTTAACTGTTGAATTACGTATTTGTTGAAATTATTGGTGTAAAAAAAGTAGCAATAATAGATCTACAAAGCCGTGACAAAATAATATCCACATTCCAAATGATCACAAAAAATTTTGACCACGTTTAAATGATATATTTTTGCTTGTAATTTTCCTTTAATAAACTAAAATATGGAAAATAAATTAAATTGTCTGGACCCAAAGCCAGATTATTTACTCTCGCTTAATAATATATGTTAAGACCGTATAATAAATTTGGTTATTGTGTGGAAAAGCTCATCAATCTTTCGAAGGGTCCACTTATATGAGAAGTTGTTGACTGAAATCGGTTTTGCAGTGTCTTGTAACTCTTTTCAACTGATTATACCAATTACCCCTTTTCACATAAATTCATTTTACAGTATGTGAACTGAGCAAAATAAATTATATTACGAAGTTTGTTTAACGGTTTTAAAAGTCAAGTATTTGATTATGTTCTGCTTAAAATTAAGCTCGGTTTTCCAAATACATGAAAATAGATGTTTGAAAATACCAGCTTAATTGGGTTTTGAGACCCTTAACTTATATTTGAAGAGGTCCCTCTAAAAACGTTGCAACTGACAATTTTTCATAAAGTGATGTTTTAATGTAAAATGGTTACTTATGCAGTTTAATATACAGTGGTGCTATCCTTTAGTCGCTAGTTGAATTAAACTATTATAATTTTTAGTACTGAAATTTGAGGTCAGTCTAAAAAGGTTACATATGTAAGAAACATGGCAGAAACAACGTCTATTTCTCCAATGTGTAGTGTTTTAAAAAAGGCAAATAAGGGTAAAAAACGAAAAATACACTATGACCAATGGCAGCAGGTAAAGAATAAAAGGTTAAAGGATAGTGGAAAAAGTTATATGGGCCACAAAAATATTGTAAAAGCCGAAAAAACAGTGTCCAAATGAGGTGAGTCTAAAAACGTTACATGTGTATACTCTAACCTTAAATGTTTTTCCTGCGTTTTTGTTGTGTATTACAGCACGTCTATTTTAGGATTCAACTTGTTCGTTAACTTGCAACTATGATGGTTGTTCCGTGCTTAACCAGAATTTGGAAGTAAAAGTTGATATATTTAATCGTTTTTACCAGTATTCTTATAATGAGCAGCAGCGATTCCTTGCAGAGTGTATGGAGTTAAGAGAACCTAAACGAAGGATTGTGCCTGAAGATATATCCAAACGCCAATGTACTATCAAGTATTCACTTCCAGTAAATATTATTGCTTCACAACGGCAGCAGGTATGTCAAAAACAAATTATATCTGTTTTGAATTTAACTCGGCGGAGATTGCAGCTTCTTGCAAGTAAAGTTAAGCAAGGTCTCAGCATCGACGATGGTCGTGGTAAACATAACAATAGACCACGAAGTATTCCTGATGCAGATCAAGAGCTTGTCATTACGCATATTTCTTCTTTTCCTTGCCAAGAAAACCATTATTCGAGAAACTCAAATAAAAAGAAATGTCTTGCTCCAGACCTATCCATAACTAGAATGTACCAATTATTTAGAAATAAGTATCCTACCACAAGGGTGAAATTACACTTGTATAGGTCAATTTTTCACGACAAATTTAACTTAAGATTTGGTGTTCCCAGATCTGATACATGTAAAGTTTGTGACAAATTTTATATACAAATGGTTGCAAGCCAGAATAATGAAGAGTTAAAGCAGCTACAATTTCAGTCAGAACTGCACCACAGAAAAGCAGAAAAGGCTTATA